ATAATATTATAAATGACTGCTGATAGTTGCTGGTACCTGGCTGAGTGAAGAAATAGATTTCTCATAGATGGCGCTACGGTATAAAAGGCTTAAAAATCAAACACAAAGATCAGCAACAAGCACATAGACAAATTGTTAAGGTCCGGTAGTTCGTTCCGTGGTAGTTGGCATAGCGTCTGGCACGGTTTGCCAGAAGACGTTGGTTAGAATCCAGCCGGATCGAATGAATTTTTTCCAAGCATTCGATCTTTGTATTAATAATTATAACAAACTAGTGGAGTAAATAACTCAATGTGGTCAACCATCGTGACATATAATTACTTAAAAATTACAATTTCTTGTTCCTCTAATCAGTTTGTTTCCAAAAAGGTTTTAACATGAAAGTAAGGTGTCCATAAAGTCAGTATTAATTTAGGATTCGCAATATTGTATTAATAAAATTATTTACTATAATTATTAAAAAAAACACTATATATATTGTTGAAACGGTAATCATTTACTGAGGTAGAAACAACGGTTCAGGATCCTGACCCCGCAGTCACCCTACATATACCTTAACTCCAGTTTTGTTATATTCAACGTCTAGTTGTCAAAGTACTCTGGTCGCCAAAATCAGTTGTTTTTGCTAGTTGTACCGTTGAAATTGGAGTTAATCTCCAAGAATATAATGAAGATTCTTCTTCTATTGGAGTGTGTGTTACTCGCTCAAAGAGAGATGCACATCTTCCTGCATCAACTTCTTTGATGATGATGCCAACGAGTCCTGTAGGTTTCAAGATTCAATGGCAGTCCGTAACTTTTACTGTTTTTGTTACATAGAAATAATAAAATATGCAAAATTCCGTGAAGCCTTATATATTTATATAAATGAGTAGAGTCCGGAGCAATTCACTGGAAGGTGGACGCACAGCAAAAACTATAAGTTCTAGAAACACAAAAACTTGAGGGTATATTACGTTTATTTAGTGCCTACTAACATGGGCCTACTAACAACGAATGTTTCAAATTTCAACCCCCAGAAAAAAACCGCATTTCTTAAAATTCGAAATTCAAAAAATGTCGAAATTTTGCATAATTGTTCTGTAATAAAATTGGTAAAAAAATATAAGTGACATTTTTTTTAAACTTTTTTTTATGATACTTAATGACTGGACGTACAAGTCGTATGCCTGGTGGTAAACGCCTGTTCATATCAGTACCCTTACCCTACCAAACCGGGACGCAGTAATGCTCACATTACTGCTTGGCGGCAGAAATAGGTAAGGAGGCAGTGTTTCCCTGGACTCGCTCTTTCACAAGGAGCTCTACTGCTACAAAATTACATTATCGAGAGGTATTGCTACTAAACATTTACAAACACATGACTTACAAACTTAAAGTCATAGGTAGGTACATGCCTCCATAGGGATTCGAACCGACGACCTGTCAATTGAAAAACAACCGTTCTTCGGCAAAAATTCCACGTGTCATCACATTATAATTATATACAGAGATTATGCAATGTCTCTTTCGACTATTTTATTATTATATTTGCAGTGGCCCCCACCAGAGGATATCCCGGACAACGAGCTGCAAGTTTTCACCGTTAAAAATGGAGACGAAACGAAACGAAAGTGACCATGCGGGGTGTTCAAAGCCGTATCGACTATTTGGCTTGTGTCCAGGCTTATAACAAAGATGGGGATGGACCTTACTCCGACCCTGTGACGGCTAGGCTTGGCTAATGAATAACGCACTTATTTTAAATCGTGTTTTGTTCTTTTCTTCATATTTTTAGTGTTTTGTCAATTAGTTGTGTTCTCAAATCCTTCGAAAAAAACCCAGACTGCACATACTTTAAAAACAAATAAACTACTGTATAATTATTGAGACTGATTCAATATGTTCATTAATAAGAAAGATATATATTTTTATTTTACGAAAAAAGCATTCAAATATAAAATAATTACGTACTTTAGCATCATTTAAAGTAATATTCTAGAAAAAATTCACTTTTGCGCTGATAGTCTCTATTAATTCTTTGTTCATGTATTTTGTGCCCTACTGGTCACAACGAGTACACCTTAAAACAACCTTGAGTATTGTGGAAATGGGATACAATTATATTACACAGTTATTTTCATTGTCTCTGAATTTCATTGTCTTTAAATACACAATATCTATTTTTAATCGACTTCAAAAAAGGAGGCGGTTCTCAATTCCACTATATGTTCTTTTTTTTGTATGTATGTTACGCGATAACTCCGGTATTTGTGAACCGATTTTCATGATATTTTTTTGTGTTGGTTTTTTGTACTTCCATAGTCGTCCCATTTCATTTTAAAGAAAATCATCCACCTCTAGGCGGCTGTTGGTGGCGCATGAAGATTCATTTTTATAAATAGCGCCTAAACTTTAATTTAGGAGCAATTATTTTAATGGTTGATTTTGCTAATTTTTAAAAAAAAGTTGAAATAGCAATTAAATTAAAAATTAAAATTAAATTTTTTAATTTAATTTTAATTTTTAATTTAATTGCTATTTCTCCAATTCAAGGCGTTTTTCTCTCAATATACTTTGAGTAGTGAGAACCGATTTTTATTATCTCCATTGTCAAGTCCTGTATAGTGGCCAACTAGGGGATATTTCAATAAAACTTAGCAAATAGACGTAATTCCACGTACTTTTGAGGTCGGTTTTTGTAGTACTCTGTACTGAGATTATAAATATTATGTGCATACCGACCCATCCCGACTCATCCTGACACATCTCGAAACAAATCGAAACCGAATTCAATAGAACCAAATCAAATCTATTTATTTGCAAGAAACATGGTGGTCAAGATAACAGCTGTACAGCAGGTATAGTCAAGAGGTTATCAAGTTTGAAACGCCGCGCGCCGCGCTCTTATCTCAAAGTTTGACGTGCTCTTGAACCTGTACATGTTTAGGCAGAAAATAATGAACATTGACATAAACATTGGTCGTTGCGTGATTGAATGAAAGTAATAGTATTTACTAGGTATTAATAGTATGTAAATGGTTGACATCTTAAAATCGTTTGATACTCCACAGTGTTTGAATACTCGCATATTTAACCAATGTGTCTTGCCCATTATGACCTACGGTGCCGAGAAGTGGACACTCACACAGAAGGATGTGTACAGAATGAGCTGAATGAGCTGGGCACGACATGTTGCGAGACGTGGTGAACACAGGTGGAGTAAGGCGATAGCCGAATGATGACCAAGAAATGGATATAGAAACGCAAGACGTTAGCGATATGGGTGGATGACATTGTCAAAGTTGCGGGCAGTAGATGGGTGAGATTAACACAGGATCGTGGTGGATGGCACAAACTACGGGCGGTCTATATCTAGCAGTGATGAGGAATAGGTACAATCAAGTCCTGGTGGTGTAATAACAAACTTTATCTTTCGTCCGTTCATTAGTGAGTTTATTATTTTCACTTATTTGAAATCGTTGAAATATTTTTAATAATTTCACATTACACTAACGAAACCCAATAAAAAGACATCCCAAGCCATTGACTTACAAATAAATGGACGAGGGGTCTAATACAAAAACCACGAAAAAAATGTCCCAAGTCAACCTTTTAAGCGTAGTGACATGTAAAGGAATATGAAAAAGCTAAAACGTTGAATTTAAATTGTAATGTCATCGCAGTACTGCCTAATTTTGCTTGCTTCGCTGTCAGTCGAACAAACGAACACGAAAGCGTGAATGATGCTCTGTATACGATTTTAACGCCCTATAAGTTCGGACACTTTTTAGCGCGGACCCGACGTCCATATAATTGTAAGTCAATATCCCAAGCAGTATTGTTGCTGATGCAGTTTTTCAACACATCAGCGGATGCTGGTTTTAATAATTTAAAAAAAAAACTTGAATAATGTACATCCCTACTGAATCTATCCACATGAGAAAGCTGTCTATTTTCTTTTGTATTGTAACAAAATATTATTTCAATGACTCTGTGACATTTGTAATAAAACTGTCAATCTTCATGAAAACAATCAATCTTGGCAAAGTTTAATTGTTATGGAATTTTATCGAAGTTATGTTTTAAAAACAACAGCTGAGCTGCTTTTTCGGCTTGCAGTCTGTTACTAGGAGGTTAGTAATTTTTTCCAGCGTGACTTTTAGGTCATGTCAAGACTCGAACGTCCGCAACGAACATCAGCTTCGACAATCCCAACCAAATATGTATTTCGAAATAGAAATATTAAAATTGAATATGCATTTCTCTAGCCTTATACGCTATGCCAATAAAAATATATAACACAATTCTGAAAACTATAAAAAAAGAATAAAATAACAAGATTTTGTAACTTCAAAAAATTTCTAATAAATAAAAGCTATTATAATGTAAAAGCGTTTTTAGAACATTAATTCTGAGTAGTAGAAAAAATACATATAATAACATTTTAAATTATAAAAGACTGTTGGTAGATACCTAATTGTATAATAATAATGGAAATATAATTGTAACGATTATGAGATTAGTCCTCTCTACTTCTAATTGCTGTGACCAGGCATAATTTGATCTCAATATTAATATAGAAACATCTGTAACGTACATTATGGAATGCAAATAAATAAGAATATTACTAGAGAATGGTTAATAATGGTTGCAACCGGTAAGTCCATTGTTGAATAAAATCTCAGTACAGAGCACTAAAAAAACCGAGCTCAAAAGTCATTTATCCCTTTGTTAGAGGTGGAAGATTTTCTTCAAATTTAAATGGGACCACCAAAAATTCTTTTTTGGTACCTCATCTAGATCGGTTCACAAATGCAGGAGTTATCGCGTAACATACATAAGAGAACATTAACGTGTAAGTTGTTAACGTCTTTTTAAAGTGGTTATATTTTTTTAGTGCGACGTGATTCGATAGAAGGTAGTTTATCAAGATCTTTGTAACTTCTGGCGTTTGGTAAGTAAATGTAAATTGTTTTTGACAAAGACGTTGCCTTTATAAATGTCATTGACAACCCCAAAATGCTCAGCCGTTTGTACATAAGGCGTTGGATGAAAAAGCTCCCGGACTCGACTCCCGGTAGTATCTATTTGGGAAATAAATTTGTGTTCCGGGTAGTGCCTCGGAGATTTCTGCTGCTCTGTAAGTAAAGGGAATTACTTAGTTTGTGATCAGGTAATCGCTGCCTGGGGCATTATTATTGTAATCATCATGGTTACAACGAAAATTTTGTTATGGTTGTTAGTGAGGGAAAAATTATATGTGCTAATAAGCCTAACAACGAGAAAAGGTATTTTATGCAATCGTCGCATAAGGACGGTTTTTAAAGTCGAGTGCCTACCGTGTTTTGAGTTTTTAAGACCTAATTTAGTAATGATTGCATACATTACTTTTTGTACGAGTAAATAAAATAATTAAACAGAACCAATATTTAACGTATATTCAGTTAACAATCGATGACAAAAAACGCATTTAAAAAAAAAATTTGATTCATTTATTAGGGTTCCACCATACAGCCTCTTCATATATTTAGACGGAAGCCAAACACGCTACAAAACAAAAAACCAAAGAGAGAATAGAACTGATCAAGTTCTGCAAATTTAACCAATCATTATTTTTATAAAGATTTATTATTGCCCGGTTGCAAGACTAGGCTAATTTAACCAATAAGGAGGCAGTATAGCGTGTGAGTAACGTCCTAATTGATATTTTAATTAGCAAAAACACGACGTTCCTTTTTTGAAAGTCATTAAAATTCTGTATACAGTACTTTAATACTCAATATAGTTCTGTATGTGGTTTATGAAATTATAGTTGACAGATTAAGGTACTGTTGCCTAGGCATCGTACGCGGGTTAAAACTGTAGATTGTTCAGTAAGGGCGTAAGGCGTATAATTTAATACGAGATGTTTAGCAGCACGAGCAATTAGCCATTTTGTTTGGTTCAATATCCAAAGTCAACAGTGCCTTCACTTTGTACAAAACACGAGTACCTAGTCGAAATTGTACATTCGCTTTACAAACAAAGATTCTCAAAACCCTAAATTAAACGCAAATTCAAATTGTCTTGAACAAAATTCAAAGCTCCGTGCACACAGACTGTAAGGGCGTGTTTACACTAAATAAAGCGCAAAGGTACGGATTTGCCGTTTGCCATTTGCCGTTTGCGCAGATGTAAATCAAACTCGATGTTTTATTAAACACCAACTCGTGCTGGATATTCAAATTAAGTGGCGGTGTCGATGCTGTGGAGCCGTGGAGGTGGCTTTACATTTTATAAGAGAGTATGTAACTAACCTATTCTTATTAATGAAAAATCTTTGAAACAGTTCCTTAGTTTTGATTCACGCTACAAAGTTTCATTATTAACACGTTGTACATCCCACTACTGGGCATGGGCTTTCTTTAAGGCGAAGCTTCAGACCATAATTTCAATCATAAGTCAACACGATGTTTGTAGTTATTATTCAATCAAAAAAGTTTATTATGTATTTAAATAAAAAACAAAAACAACTTATCTAACGTGTTTTTATTCAAATCCGTTCAACCGTCATTACTTCTGCATTTTGTTGGCAAAATGTTTTTAGATTCCATAAAATCCGTCTCCACACTAACTGTACGTGAAAAGATTTCTACCTCTTGTAAGAGTCGTGGTAATATTTACCCGGTACTTTCAAACAGCGAAACATTGCCGGTACAACAAAATTAGCTTGTTTTAATTGTAACTCGTGTGTTCCGGCCTTTATGAAAAGGCAACTCAATTCTAATGCTAACGGAATACGGTACAAATTATTATTTGGTATTTATTACGTGATTTATAAGGCTGTTTTAAAATATTTATCACTGTTTTGGTAATTTTGTAATAATATAAATGTACTTTTTTTCCAACTACAGAAAACAAAAGATTTTATTTAAAAAAAATTGTGAGCGCTGGTAGAGTAGAGGTCCACGGTTCGAGTTCCTGTGATGATATCGATTTTAATTTCTAAATCACGTTAATTTGTGAACGACTTGAATGTTGACGAATGTTCACAACCCTTGAAAATGTGGCCTAAACATTTTTATTCAAGGAGACCCGTGCATAGCAGTGGGTTTACAATGGGTTGATGCTGATATAGAAGTAATATTTGTGATAATTAATGTTTTTTTTATGGAAAAAGTGATAATTTTCTATATCATTCATTAATATAGTACCAGGAGTACAAGACTCGACCAGAGTCAAACTTCCTATCTTCCGCTAACTAGGAGACGCTAATGAAGCGCATACACTTTATCGCTACCTGTGCGTTTTACTCTCACAGCATTTGAATGTGCTGTCTCGCTCGACGGGGCTGTCACATCCAAAGTAAACGGTGACAAGAAATTAATTAGGGGAACCGGAGAAATAATGGTGCGTCGTGATTTTTAAATGAAATTTATTTTCTCGAATTCATTTATTTTCCGTGGACATGACGCTTGGGAAATTATTGGACTTAAGAAGGGCTTTAAGTGTCGTGTTTACCTTCTTAAATCTTAAAATTTTTGATTATTCTTTTTTGCCAAGAAATATGACTTTTTCGGTGGACAATTTTCTTTTGTTGGCTTTTAATTGATATTTTTTTATTTCATTCTTTAACAACTTTTGGTGTGCTATTTACTTTTCGTCCTTTATTTTTTCTTACAATTTGTTTGTATATTATTTTTCAACTATGAACGTTCAGAAAACAATGGTAGACTTCGTACATTGGATATGAAAAAATGTACAAAAGCTTTTTGTTAAAATTTAATAAGTAACTTAGAATAATAACGCATAGAATGATAGTTTCTTAACAAACGAACTGTCACAAGTGAGGCAAAAATCAAATTCATGTCGGCTAGGTTTAGTAGTAGGTTAATTTTCGGTTTTAGTGAATATTTATATAAAAATACAAGTTGAAACGCGTTACTTCCTTGTGGAATGTGATGTTAGTATCTATTTTATGTTTGTCTGACGTATTTTTACACTCATTTACCGCACATTTCGTCATTTTTAGCTAAAATTCTTGATCTGTTCGCGGTGCAAGTTGACCTTGAGCACTGAAAGCCCATTGGGCGCGCTTCAATTTGCCTCACTTAGCGTGTGCGGACTAGGCTTCTATGCGTTATTATTCTAAGATAAGTAAATGAAAAACAAGTTATTTATTAATAATTTAACATCACATAACTAACATCTGCACAAGGCAAAGGCTTTAAGGCAAAGTATATCTATTTATTTATTTATTTATTAGATTCACCAACAGAAATACACTACAAACATGGACATAAAATAACACTGCAGAAATTACTCGAGTGTAAACCCAATAATAGGCAAATACAGCGTGCACATATAACACAGTATCAGAAGCGTTTACTGTGTGTTATGTTACATACAAACAAATGGATATGATTATTCAAAGCAAATAAATTAAATGTGGTCAAATTAACTTGTAAAATTACAGAATTGTAATTTTACAGTCTACCGCGTTGATCGATGATTATCCACAGTTGTCTGTGCGGACCCCCAGGGAATCACTCCAATTCACGAGGGCTCCACATCAGTTTATAAAAAAATAGGGGGTGCATGACACGTAAATGGGCGTTCACGATAGTGGAACCCATGGAACCCATTTAGGCAGGTGGAGACTAAAATTTAGGCTATTCATATATGGAATAATCCACATTACACAGATAGTAATTAAGTATAGATGACAGCACATCAAGCTATACATAAGACCCCTTTCACTGTCACTCTATAGCGTACAGATTACTGTTTGATTTTTTTTAAAGTAAAATATTCGAAAAGGTTATGCTAACTCAATTACTGTCCTATTTCGGTAGGAATCATATTTTTCATAGTGAACAATACGGGTTTACTAGTGGTAGATCGACTAGCGATGCGGGGGTAGCGTTACTGAAACACATCTTTGATGCTTGGGAAAGGTCCCAGAACGCTATTGGTGTTTTCTGTGACCTCTCAAAGGCATTTGATTGCGTTGATCATAATACTCTTATTAGTAAGCTGGAACATTACGGTGTAAATGGCAAGGCGTCGAAACTTGTCTCGTCATATCTCAACGGTAGAATTCAGAAAGTAGGCATAAATGGAGCGACTTCTTTGGGTTCTCCAGTAAAAATGGGTGTTCCGCAGGGCTCAATACTTGGACCTTTCTTATTTCTGATTTATATTAATGATCTGCCATTCTTTGTTAAGGACCATTGCGAAATAGTGTTGTTTGCTGATGACACATCCTTGATTTTTAAAACAGACAGACATGACATTAACTATGACCGTATTAATGATACCCTCTCTAAAGTAGTTTATTGGTTTAATGCTAACAATTTATTGCTTAATGCCAAGAAGACAAAATGTGTTAAATTTGAATTACCTAACGTAAAATCGACTAGTCCAAGCATAGAAATAAACGGAGAAAAGTTAGACCTTGTTAATAAAGCAGTCTTCTTGGGAGTGACCTTAGATAGTAAACTTCAGTGGTTTCCACATATATCGTCCCTGGCCAGCAGATTAAGCTCCGCTGCATACGCAGTCCGCAGAATACATGAGCTTACCGATGTTAGTACTGCTAGACTAGTTTACTTTAGTTACTTCCATAGTATAATGTCCTACGGGATTCTCATGTGGGGTAAAGCGGCAGATATTCAAACCATATTTGTATTGCAAAAACGAGCAATTCGTTCTGTGTACCGTCTAGGCTCTCGGGTTTGTCTCAGAGAAAAGTTTAAAGAGCTGGTATCATGACTGTGGCATCACAGTACATTTACTCAAATATTTTATATGCCCGTAAAAATATACATAATTTCAATAAGAAAGAAGATATCCATAATATTAACCTTAGAGCTAAGTCCAAACTCATGGTACCACGATTTCGTTTAACCAAGGTAAACAACTCTTTTATGGGGAACTGTATACGTTTTTACAATAAGATTCCGGAGCATATATTAAGTTTATCATTTCCTAAGTTTAAAAAGTACATTAAAAATATTTTGATCGAAAAAGCATATTACAAAATTGAAGACTACGTGTTAGATAAAGATGTATGGAAAGACGACATGGCTCCAGAATCCACACAAATTTGATTCAAAATGTATTCCATAGCATTTAAGTTTATTTGAAAAGAGCAATCCC